ATATATATATATATATATATATATATATATATATATATATATATATATATATATATATATATATATATATATATATATATATATATATATATATATATATATATATATATATATATATATATATATGCTCATCAGCACTACACTGATGAGGCCCAAAAGGTCGAAATCCTGCTCATCAGCACTATACACTGATGAGGCCCAAAAGGTCGAAACGGTACCGTCTGTAGTTAGATATTGCTCTATGGCCTTTGTGTCATATTGAGCACTCTACAGGATGAGCCATTGCTGCTTACGCATTGTGCGCATGCTCACTGCTTGCAGTTTGAGCACTCTGGCAATGGTTTGATGTCCAACATTCGTGAGACATCAAAGGTAACTATTTATAGTGGTTACTTTCATCCTGCTCATCAGCACTACACTGATGAGGCCCAAAAGGTCGAAACGGGGAAGATGATATTAAAACTGTTTATGACCTTCACATATATTGGACGTCAATTTCCATTTTCCGCTATCTTGGCTTCACTTTTCCATAGGTCGAATGACTGAAGTTCTTGCTCCAGATATATATAGAGTTCATTAGTATGATAAGACAGTATATTTACTATATATACAAAATATTTAATGTTCGGTAAGGTAATCCCACTGAGCTATACTTAATATATCTGGAGATCGTGCTCCAATACCTCGTCAGTCAAAAATGTGTGACCAAAAACATGGCGGATTTTGGCCAACTTTACGTCATTTTGACGTCACAATCGACCTAAATTTATGGTGAACACCACTGACCTTAAATACTAAAGTGAAGAAAAAAGTTATTTACACCCCCCTTTCAGTACATAAATCACTATAAAATCAGGGGGGGGGGTGAACTTTGTCGCCCACGGACCTTCGAGCCACGGGTCAGTGGAAACCCCCCATGAAAATAGGTCGATTGTGTCGTAAAATCCGCCATGTTTTTGGTCACACATTTTCGTCGAGAGCACGATCTCCAGATATATTAAGTATAGCTCAGTTGGTAATCCATGTACTCCTTGGATTCCGGATTCCATTGCTTGGATTCCGTAGTCCTCTCTTCGGATTCCGCTCCTAGGATTTCGGATTCTACTACTTGGATTCCGGATTCCAGATCCGTCGTGGATTCCAGATTCCAGAAGATTCCGATGTTTGGATTCTGGATTCCACCGTCTGGAATCTGGATTCCGGATTGCAAAGTACTAAAAGTCGGATTCTGAATTCCTGGATTATTTAGAAACGTCCTTTTAGTTTTATTCTATTTTGTATTTTCAAGGAATATTTACAAGGCAATCCTGAAAAAGCTCGCAAAGAATTAGGTTGGGTACCGAAGAATACTTTTCACGTAAGTTTTTTCCGATCGATTAATATATTTCATAATGCTATAAACACGAGTAACGGCAAAAATTAAATTTATATTGCCGTATTCTTTTTGCTAAAAAGGAAGATTTCTTTAAACTAGGACACGGCAATATAAATTTAATTTGTCTCATCGGAAAGAATTTTCAAACTGTATGGAAAACCTTTTCATATCTTCTTAAATTAACTGAATAGTGATTATTCTCGAAGTATTTTCACCACAATCATCATAAATTTGCCCGTCGCCATCTTGAAATAATTAGTAACTTGGGACATCTGTGATTATCTTTGATAATAATGGATCAGTGAAATGATTATTCATTAAAATACTCTTATATTCCTGTATACATCCTTAGGTCATTTCTATTGTCAACTGGGAGGTATAAACGCGACAAAAAGTTTTCTTTATTAAATTGACTAGAGATATTTACCTTTTGTCGATATGCACGTTATGTCACAAATCCCTTTATGCTAGCACATTGTAAAATTATTCACATTTTCTCTCTTCAAATCGAACATTTGATCAAACATTTCTCTAAGAAAGTCCAGCAAGACTGCATTCGACCTTTTCCCAGTCATTTTTTTTTCGATGAGGTCATTTCTTTTACCTAGCTCTCTTGAATATTCACATTTCGGACCGGCATTTGTAACACCTGTATCGCGAATCGAAGCTTTCCGTCCGCGTGGAAGATTGCGCGTATTTGCGCAATCCCAAAAGTTAAGCAAATCACCTCTGAAAATGACCTGCGGCCTATATCAATCTTGCCAGTACTGTCGAAAGTGTATGAACGCCTAATCTTTCGCCAGCTTTCCAAATTCATCGATGATAACAAATTACTGAGTAGCACCATCTCTGCATATCGAAAGGGCCAATCCACCACAACGGTCATGCAAGCCATACGAGATGACATCACGAAAGCAATGAGTCGTGGAGAAGTCACGATGATGATCTTCGCTGATTTCTCGAAAGCTTTCGATACGATCCGTTTTAAAAATCTCATCTCGAAAATGAGCAAACTGGGCTTCCGCAAGGATTTTCTTACATGAACACTAAATTATGTCTCACATCGTAAACAGTACGTTCAGATTGATGATATTAGATCGAATACAACAAATGTTAATTTCGCGTACCACAAGGATCGATATTGGGGCCGGTTTTATTTAATATATACGTTGCCGACCTTCAAGAAATTATCGACGCCAAAAGCCATCAATATGCTGACGACACAACAATCTATGAGCATGCCAAGGTCAAACATATTCATAGATGTAGAGAAACCATATCTGATTCAATGAAAAAACTCAACGACTGGTCAAATAATAGCAGCCTTGCCTTAAACCATAAGAAGACGAAAGCAATGCTTTTCTCAACTCAACAAATGTCAAGAGTACACCAATTGGAAAATTATGAACCTAGAATATTTGTCAACGAACACGAACTAGAGCGCATAAAGTCATGCAAGTTGCTTGGCGTTCATTTCAACGAACACCTAAAATGGGACAACCATATCCGTCACATAACATCTGCCTGCTACGCCACCTTGCAAATATTAAGGAAACTTAAACATCTAGCTTCTTATTATCTTAGAAAGCAGTTAGCTGAAACGCTAATATTATCCAAATTGGATTATGCTGATGGTGTTTTCTATCCACTCCCGCAGTTTCCAGAGTGGCCAAAGTATCTAAAGCTAGAACGACAAACTTGCGTCCGAGAACTGCGCTCAACCAATGCAGTTAGACTAGTCGTGCCAAAAGAAACTGGAACGTTTCAACATAGTGCTGCGAAACTTTTTAATTCCTTACCTGAGAACATCAGGAATTGTACTAATTACAAAGTATTTTTAAAATTAACGAAAGAACTTTTATTCGAAAGAGCACGCCAAAACTAGTTTTTAATCCGAACATCGATTTTATCTAATTTCAACACTTAAACGTTATAGTCCATAGTTATAGAATATAGTATTTAATTAGTATTTTAACAGGGAAGAGCCATATGTATGGATCTGTTGAATAAATCGTTATTATTATTATTATTATTATTATTTATGCTACCAAAATATTTTTGCTCCACGCTAAAAACAGTTCTTGTTTTTTTAATTATAGGACATAATCAAAGAAATGATGGATAGCGATCTCGAATTGATGAAGAAGGATCCGACAGCTTAGAAAATTAGGGCTGTGGAACTATATTGTATCGATGAATAATATATTCTAAGATTAGCTATATATACTATATAGTTGCTTAGGAGATCGTATACAGGTCTGATTATTATGTCAAACACACCTGCTGAAATTGTGCATTTAGGTCTTATACCATTTTACATAAAAATGGTAAATATTTTTGTATCGATGTTGGTACAACCTGTATAGTAATTGAAGGTTATCTATTACACATTGATAACTTATTTCATTCTGTCGGTTCTTTATACCCATAAATTATTGCTATTTAGTTCTATGAGAAGTAAGAAACTTAATAATCAGGCTCTTATCGGATATTTTAAGCCAAGGAACAATACCTTTAACAAAGATTTTTCTTCATCTTACTCTAATTTATAAATCGTTGGCAAAGTATTCGTCTTTATAATGATATTTATGCATATATGTGCGTTGATTCTAAATTGATTGCGTTAAGCTGTATAGTATCAGATTTATGTGGTAATTTAATTAAAGGGAAATGGTAATATATATTTTTATTTTCTCATTTGAAAGAACTTTTGAAACTATTTAATAACTTTTTTTTACCGATTCTTCATGTTATGTTGTTTAGTTCTTGAAATATTTTCACTTGAAGTAATGAGATGTCTGCCATCTTGGATAACTTTTTTATCTCATTAACGGTAGTTTTGGTGACGTCACAACAGGGATTAATTAACATAGCATGACCAGTTGCTATGGCTAGCTTTTGCAACTGGATGGATCAAAGTCAAAATGTGACTCAAACTTTGTAACGAAGTGTTTCTATAAAATTGAAAGAGTGATCATGCATCTCTGTGCCAATTACCATTTGTTTTCTCTTTTCTGAGAAGTCTGCCCAAATGTTATTGATTTCTCGAATATCCATGGTTTTCTAAAGTATTTTTGGAGGGGGGATTGCTCCTGTCTAGATCTCGTATGCCTATAAACTTTGTAGTATTGTTACGAGAGGCGAAATAGGATGAGTTGCATAGATGTATACACTGTGCTGCACCTGCTGCAGATTTCCACCACGTATAATTATCGCAGAACGAGACTGTCTCGTCCGACGATAATTATACATCCGGCCTTGTTTTGTGAACCTTGCAGACAGTCTAAACCTGTCTAATTTTGTGGCAGACTCCTGGATGGTACTTATTCGGCAGGAAACTGTAATTTTGTTGCCTTGAATTGTGAAAAGATAATCTGTTCCGAAAAACATCGAAAAACTTTCAGGAATTTTCCAGGAAAAAGAAAGTTATTTGAAGGAAAATTTTACACATAAGAAAATATAAGAAAGAAATTTTGTAAATCAGTCGGAAACACTGGCATTAAAAGCATTAATGTTTTTCTTGGGTTAGCACTTTTTTCCATCCAGCAAACCGCCATATCGATTTTGTAAAGTCGTTTCTTTTTGGATTTTTTCATTAATTCAGTTAGAGCTGAGGTTAGGGGTTAGAGTAGGGGTAGGGTTTGGTTAGTTACATAGCCATTTAACACCTCTTCCATCTTCGGAAAATGACGTCAGGTCGGTTTGCTGGATGGAAAATAGTGCTAACCATGTTCTTGTTTTGTAACTTTTCTTCTTGTTTTCATTTCCGTGTCGACTGTCCAGAGTCCGCGGAGATTTCAAATAAACATTTTAACATCAAAACTATACCTTTCAAGATTTAAATATGTCTGGAAAGAGTGTCCATGAGCTTATTGTTGGCCCAATAACCTGTTTTTCTTTGGACAAGCAAAGACAAAGTAAGTTTCTCTTCATTGAAAAAGTGTAAGCACAATTCTATGCTTCAGCCAAGTGGTGTGTGTTTTTTATATAAAAATACATCTTTACATCAGTTTATGAAATTGTGAATTGAGCAATTGTTTAATAATCCTGGATAAAAAGTCTCAATTGCGAATTCTATGTGTAGTTTCAACGTAGAAATAGCGTGTCGAGAAAAGCTAACAGGAAATGACTGGGAGTGCCTTGCAGTTGCAGGGTTGGCAAATCTTACATTAGTTTTTAGTGTGAAGTTTCTTCGAAACTTCACAGTATTGTGATGACTGGGAGGAAATTCAAACTTATCAGTCAGTCAGTCAGTCATTCAGTCAGTCAGTCAGTCAGTCATACAGTAAACTTTCCGGGGGGTGTATACGATTTATGTTTGTAGTGATTTATTGTGCTTTGTCAGTACTTTGAAGGTTATTTAAGCAATTTCAGTTAACTTATTTACATATTCTGTTATCCTTTTGCCAAGTTCACAAAAATTTCGAGGAATCGCTTTTGTTATTGTAATTTTTTGTAAATTTTAGAACATTCGCTTCTCGTGTTGTGTAAAGGATCTTTACCCCGGAACACCCGATTTTTCTTTAGTAGCGCAAATGCGCATGCGCTATCAAGCCGTAGATCACGATGGCGTGACGATATGCTAGGAAGGAGTGACAGTGTTGTTTTCAGATGTATAAACATTTCAGACGTGAATATTGAGTAAATATTTGAAAATCTACGCAATATATAAATTGATCTTATGCATTACGGGCGTTCAATTAAGTGTCGATAATATTTAGACGGTATATTCATTATACAGAGCTAGGAAGGAGCTAGACCGCCTAGACAGTGCAGTCAACACTCAAGTGTATAAACATTTCAGACGTATTAAATATTGAGTCGAAAATCTTTGAGATTCTAGGCATTCAATTGAGTGCTGATATTATTTTCACGGTATACTCATTATACGGAGGTACAATACGTACGAAGAAGCGAGACAGTGTTGTTTTCAAGTATATAAACATTTCAGACATGAATATTGAGAAAATCTTTGAGATTCTACGCAATAATATAATATATAAATTGATGTTATAATTACCGGCATTCAATTAAGTGCCAATCGATATTATTTAAACCGTGTATTCATTATACATTGTTATTGACTGTAAAAGGTGCTACATCACAGAACTCAGTACAAAGAGCGAAAAATTGCATCAGATCAATAAAGCGTAAACAACTATTAAACAGAAGCGGGTGTTTGTACAGGCATTTACGAAGAAAATATTGCGAGACGAAAGAAATCAGTTGAGTCAGAGCTCCTTATTTAAATAAGAAAGACGAGGAGATAGCCAATGTGTTATCGCCAACGTGTTATCGCCAATCGCTTGGCTCGCCAACAAGATTTATGCAATGGAAGAAAAAAGCAAGGAGGTACATGTAGCCAACATGTACTGTCACGGACCTTGTTTACTGTCTAGCACAACGCCGTTGTCAACGGTGCAAACTCGTGTTCAGTGCAACGATAACTCTACCAGATCTTACGAGAATCAATCTGTAGTATTCTGTATACAGAACTGTATCAAAGCTTGTCAAAACCGCTTTAAACACTGCAGCTATAACTGTGAAACTATTGAAATCTAAAGTGACATTATTCAACACATGCGAAAAGCTGAAAATAGACGCAACGTGACCTTCGAAAAGTCAAAGGTCAATGAGACTTGTTATTGTCAAACATGTCACAATTAGGTTAAAATGCGGAAGCGGATGGAGCGGATCCACGGAACGGATATGCGGATAAAATATGGAACGGATGAAGATAAAGTGCTTCCTTTCAATGATATAACGACGTAGTGCTTATTATTCATAACATATTGTATACAGCTATTTCAATTATAGTTTTAGATAAGTTTAGCATAGCAGTAGCCTCGTGGGGATTCTTTTAGCGACAGCTGCAAATACAAATGCAAATGAAAATTTAGAATATGCAAAATTTGGTTGTTGGTGAAACAATTGAATTTTAGCATGCGTGTAGCATCACAATAAATAGATAAATTGTGTCAGTTTCACAAGGCACGTTTCTGATGTGTCGGGCTTGTTTCAAACGTCGTGCGCCGAGCGCATGAGATGAAATGCCTTTGGTAATTGTTTATTTCGTAGTGTAAGCGATCAGCTTTTCTAGGTTGTCGGCGAACCTATATAGTTCTTGCAGTGTCTTTTTCAATTTGAAACTTCACACTATCCTTGGATCCCTAGTTTAATACTGTGGTGGAGCATTTGCCCCACTGGGCCCCTTACTCTGCCCCACCACTGAAGAAAAAAATTGCCAATTGCCCCCAAGCCAGGGCAATGTATATGACTTGTATTGAGTAAATGAGTTTAACATTGAAAAGAAGTTTAAAAAATAAAATTTGTTGGTGAGCATACTTGAACTTATGTTGTGTTTGAATGTTTAGCGTGCAATTTATTACAAATTTCATCATTAAAACTGTGTTTTGAGAAGCTGAGATTTTTTATTAAAATTTGTTTTCAGAATGCAGGAAATGCTATTTCAGAGATCCAAATTTTAAAATTTCCTGGGGGGCATGCCTAGCTAACTCGTGCCTGTGGTTGCCCCACCACTGAAGAATCCTTAAAAAATGCACTGGTTCCATTTGTTCCATTTTGTACTTACGTTATCCGAACAGTGGTAACTAGGCATGTGAGTTATCTAAAAATGGGAATTTGCTGGCAAAATATATGTTCGCTGATATCCAACTGGCTATATTGCAAGCTAGTTTCTACTAACGTTCATTTGATGTTGCCTTATCATTATCAGATAACATTTCATCCAAACGATCACAGCGCATTTCAAGACCTAGCTGATGAGATCAAAGCATTCGAAGGACTGACACACGACAGTCTCGTCAAGTATTATGGATGTGAAGTACACAGGGTAAGCAGGAGAATAATTGTTATATAAAATCAGTGAGCTCCATATATATCTGGAGTAGGAACTTGGTTGCTCAAAGTGAAGCCAGTTTCGTGTTAACCGCGTATACAAAAACAATAGAAAGGGACTGGAACTGACGTCCAAGAGCTCCTTCAATTTCCGCCATCTTGGCAAGGAGTGTGTTCAAATTTCGTATTTTGACATCGATTTAAAGAATAATATTGTGATTTTATGAACTGAAAACTTGATTAGTGATACGGTCCATTAGAAAAAACTGGAATTAGCTTGGGAAAATGGTATAAAAACTGTTTATGAGCTTCAGAGCTATTGGACGTCAATGGCCGCCATCTTGTATTCACTTTTCTCATTGACCGAATGACTGAAGTTCTTACTCCAGATATATATAGAGTTCACTGTATAAAATACAGTGTGTATGCCTGCATTCAACATGGTTCGAGAACAATACAATACAATATTTATTACACTAAAAAAATACACACTCAACAATATCTAAATCAAATATGTGAAAAAGTATCTACTATCAAAATCAACTTTTTAGACGACCAAAAATGAAATATCTCCTTTTTACATTAAACATTTAATTTAAATGTGTGCTGCCATATTTCTTGTCCCTCCAACATGAGATTCGCGCGACTAGACACAGGACTTTGGGAAATGGCTAATTCGTACTGATCTATTAAATACGGAGTCTTAACCGAATCATCTAATGGATTCCAAATTTTTGGTCCAGAAAATTTAATGTTAAGTATTCCATAGTTGATAGAACGGTTGAATGAAGATGCATTTCTCACCCAACCTATCTCCTGTAGGATGTGATGTATATATTTATGGAATACTGCGGAGACGGCACGATCTCAGATGTTTCTAAGCTTGGGTTACCTGAGGCTATGATACGCAAGTACGCTGACCAGTTATTGATTGCAGTTGAATTTTTGCATGACAGAGGGATTGTTCATCGTGATATCAAAGGTTAGTCTTACATAAAGTATATAGAGTCGCTTCAAGATTCTTGCTCAAGTTATTTATTTTCCCCATCTGATTTATTCAGCTGTTAAAACTCAGAGTAGGTCCAGTGTAGGTAGTATATATTAAAAAGTGGAGGCCCATCAGAGGGTACAAGGCCTTCGTCAGGCGTATATTAAATAATACACTGTATCGACGTAATTGCATCGGATAGAACAAGCTAACTGACATGTTTTATTGACCCGCGGCCATTCAATTGAACAAATATGCCTTTTTAGCAAAATTGGAATTAATGTTTCCTTTTTAATGGAAAAACAACAGGCAGCCACATATTCCAACTGTATTTTAAAAGCCGTTTTCGGATAAGCCGCTTTTTTATCCGTGCATATTGCAGATTTCTGACATGGATAGGAAATTTTAATATTTTTACACTTATTTCACTATGCCGAAATTAATTTCGCAAGCCAAAGAAAAGTCTTGTTTGTGTTAATAAAAATTCTTATTTCATGTGTTAAACTGTATTATTTTACTTCATGTGATCTTGAGTATATGATATAGCAGGACGAGAAATTTTCACAATTTAAACAAGTTGCTATCTTAGCAGAAAGTGGGGATTATTTTTATAATAAATTCAAGTTCTATGCCGGTAAATACCTTGCGCAGCTGAACAAATTCATCAAGCTTGTCCGTAATAAACACTGACACGAATGCTAAAATTAATAAAACTTAGCATAAATATATTTTTATTCAACAGTTCGAAATATGATTTAAGGAATTGAAATTGATGAGAGACATTAGGACGCACAATTGGACACATAATTATTCATAATTTACGCAGTTTAACTAATTATATTTAGTCGTGACAGATACAGTAGGGGATATAAAGCGTGACACAGGTATATGATTATTACACTTAAAAAGGAGATATGATTAAAAGTTTCTGGGGACCATTCTTGCTTGGCTGGCTGTATGCTTGTATGACTATATTATTATGCTTTACTTATTGAACAGTTCAACTCGTCTTGTGTGGTATGTGGCCTATAGAAAGATTTAATTTTCATATGCTCTCAGATTCCTCGTGAAGACCAATTTTACAGAACATCGTTGCTTGAGAGAGATACATTCTTTTTATGGTGCAGAACGTTGTGTGACTCCTATGTTGTGATTTCAACTTGTCTTGCATGCTCTCAGAAGTTGAGTGGCCAAGTTAGAGTTAAAGATTGGTTTTAGAAATCATTGTCTCTTGAGAGTTTTCTGGATTTCTACGTTTGTATATATAATTATTGTGGCTTGCCCTCAACAGGTACTTAACTTCCTTATTGTGTCACATTTCGCATAAAGTTGATCAGCTGAGAGAAAGTCAGAAACTGCTTAAAAAGGATTAAAAGTGGATATTGTATAGATCATCGTGGTTTGAAAGGTACTTATCTTCTATGAAAGATTAACTGAAGCTGACTGTCTAGTTGCTTGAGAGAAGGATTTATTTTATATATTACTGACGGCTAAGACAGCGTCGGAAACTGACTTCATAAATTTTTTTTGTGTACGTTGGATCCGTGTGAGGAAGAGTGAAGATTGACTTTGCATAGACAACCGTTGCGAGAGAGTGATTTATTTTCTATATTGCTAACGGCTAAGAAAGATTTCAGGGCAAATTTCCTGGCTAAGAGAAAAGAAGGAATCATGTTATACATGGCTAAACTTGAATATAATTCAACTACAATGGACCATCATCTTCCAACGAAAACATTTCTAATCTCAGCGATCATTCTTAAATGTCTTCTCGGCGTGTTTGGCATAGTTGGAAACGTCGGAGTGATCGTATATAACCTCATCAAACATTCAAAAACTCCTACAGATTATCTCATTATCAATTTAGGCATTGCAGATTTAACAACCTGTGCTACGTACTACCCTGCTTTTGTCGTCGAATTTGTACGGATTGTGAGTGGAGTGGAGATAAACCGAGAGTTATTTTGCAGAATAATTGCTGGTATCGGTAGTTCAACCGTTTCATTGTCTATTATAACTCTTCTAGCAATAACATTTGATCGTTATTATTTTATTACGACACCTCTGAAGTATCCTTTAGTTATAACTAGAAAGAGAGTGTTTGTGATTATATCGACAATTTGGTTCTCCGCCTTACTTCTGGCCTGTATAGTTGTATCGTTTACAACCGGCAGTGATGATCGATTGAATTGTCCTGTCGATTACACTGTGACGATTTTTGGTGTGTTTATATTCGTGCACATACCTACAGCATTGGTTTTGTATCTCAACTATAAGGTGTTCAAAGTGGCGCGAAATCACAGACGTAGGATCGCACAACAGTGTAGAATTGCACAATCTTCCATCAGCCAATCAGGGAATAGTGATCATAACAGAACAGGAAGATCAAGCTTCAGAAGGGCTTTTAAATCTATCAAAACATTTGCCATCGTCACTGGTGTGTTCGTGTTATGTTATATACCATATTCAACGACTCTTATTGTTGGAACATTCCTATGTCAAAATCATTGTGTTCCTGTGGAATTGTCGATCATATTCGGGGATCTAGTTAGTCTCAGTTCTGTCTTAAATCCTTTCATATATAATATGCGACAACACGGCGTGTTTTCCTGCAGATAACGTCACAATTCTGCGCTATTTAGGATTTCTAGTTTACTGTATAGCTTTTGTTAGCTAAATGCATGTTTTTGTACATTGTATATATGCTGTCGTTATTATATATTCAATACATTACATGTGTTGCACTGTGTATGTTTTTGGTATACGATTCGCATAGTTTATAGCGACTTATAGTGATAACTGTTACCCTAAATCAACTGTATTTATATACTGGATAGTTTTATCACTTCTAAATTGTTTTTCCTGGAGGTCCGGTAATCCCTTGTTGGTACCGTGTTGCTTCGGACAAAAACCTGAGAACTGGCTCAAAAACCTGCCGTGTTTGGTAAATTGGAAGTACTCACATACGACTTACTATGATCAAATCTATGGAATGGAATCCCATAATTTCTTGCGCGCTCGCTTTGCTCCTTACAAAAACCATATGCAGTCAATGCTTGCTAAAAGTTTAAGGGGGCTCTGCGCGAAAGAATCCAACGACTCCAACAAAAAGTATTAAGAATGACATTATTTATTTTCCTTATTTAGTGGTGTTTGTACAAGTAGTCGTTAAATTCCAGTTACATATAGTTAATCTGACATCAGTAAAGATTCTGTACTTAAAAACTATTACAACGAATCATAGTCAATATATAGTCAAAACTTTATTATGAACATGGGTCTTGTATTAAAATACTGTCAAGCTTAAAATTCACTACAAGGTCGAGAGAGGAGAATTCTAAATGCTCTTCTATATTCCTCATGTCTCACGCCATAAATGAATGCATTTAATACAGAGTTCGCTCCGGCCAAGATGGCGAATGAACTGATAATCTCTATAGGTATACACCCCCCACCACAGACAACAACATCTATCATAGCTATAACTGGGAATGGTGTTACACAGAATATGAAACATCCAAACACGATAGTGAATGTTTTAAAAAGTTTAAACTGTCTTGCTAAATGTCTTCGAGATGAACCAGTCGTTGAGTTGCTCGTCTCAGACGGTACTGCTTGTACGGCGATCTTGCGTCGCTGTGCTCTGGCAATCCGAAGGATCTTCAAGTTAAAAACAACCGTTGCTGTCAATGGGATATAGAAACATACCACAGATCCAGTTAGTGCTACAGCCATATCAACGTCACAAATCAGAGGTACTCCAGTTGATTTGGTGCTCGCGAAAATGAATCCACCATTCACAAATCCAGCACACCATATAACTGTCAAAGCAATACATGTCCGTCCTGACGTTACAATATTCGGATATTTGAGAGGTAATGTTATAGAGATATATCTATCTATAGTCAATACCATGATATTTACAACTGATAAGGCAAGGCTAACACCTGTAATAGTGAAGCTTATTTGACAAACCAAGTTCGATCCTTCAGCAGTCCCAAGTAAGATCCTGATAGTTTCTGTGATGTATGTAGGAAAGTAGATACCACACACTAGCAGATCTGAGACAGCCAAATTTAGGACAAAATAACTGGTAGGATTCTTGTTTTTGTTTAGAAATACGTTATAAATTATCACAACGATATTGCCTATCACGCCAAAGACTACAAACAATGAATCGATAACCACGAGTGCCACTAAAAACCCTCTCGATGGAGGCTCGATTGTAGAGTTCATATTGAAATATAGCAATTTCTTCTATAAAAATATTTATAAAATAATTTACGGTCGAAATATTATGAGATGATCAATAATTGATGCAACCGCCAGAAGTAATATTTCCAGAAGACTTGAAATTGATTAAAAGAAGAGACAGCTCGTCCGTTTTGAAGAGTTTCCACTTTTTAAAACCTTTAGATCAAACTGAGAAGTTTTTTATTCTTCCCTCTAATGGTTGATGCAGGTTTATTGTACACGGAGTATTAAAATCCTCTAATGCATGTACAATTTATTAGACTTGGTGTTGTTTGTACTGTAGCTATTAAAATTTCATAAGATGCTTTTAATAAGACATGTTCAACAAACGTTGATGTTCTCTGTGATAAGGAGGCAGTCACAATGGCTCCATGACAAGGTTAGATCTGCGATTTCTCTTCTTGATGTTACAACTACAGTACTTAAACAACAAAGAGACAGTGCAGTTTGAAGATGTTATATTCCGTTACCAGCAAACTAGATTGTGCTCGAATTCTTAGAAATCTTCTTAGAAATCTTTTTAGAAATCTTCTTAGAAATCTTCTTAGAAATCTTGTTAGAAGATTCGAAACAGTGAGAATGTTGTTAAGTGATATATCCTCTAATCTTTGTCCTCAGTCTTTGCCTTTGTTTCACAAACAAGCGAGCGAACTTTAAGAAGAATATTTGAATATGCAGTCTTACACAAGCTTTCGTCGATAAACTTCGGATAAAGAGAAACACCAACTTCAAAAAGTCTTTGCCTTGGTTTTTTACTGTAGAAAAGATAGCAAACTGAATCACATGCGAAACAATAAGTTCACGGTGTAGATATCAGACCAAAGCTGTGTACATATAAATATTAAAATTGAATTAATTCAGAGAAGGAGCACACCTTAACACTATATAGTCTTTAAAGCCAGATCTGTGGTATACCTTCTCCCAAGCACTGAGCTGAGCGAAGACTTGTGTGCAGTCGTTTTTAAATTAATATAAAGTCCGTAATATCATGTATACCAATGCAGCTGTGTTGTCGTAAATAAATTTCCCAGGCAAATAAAATTTTTGTAATTACATATTACTGCTCAATACGTTTGTGTGACTACTATTATAATATTAATGTTTAGACAGGTTAAATACACTTTATTTAGAATCAAGCTGCCTGAATTCAAACGGTATCACATATATACGTGTCTTATGTCTTAACTAAACTGATCAACCATATCACTTGCCCCAATAGCTTTATTCGTGAAGTTCTTTAGCTCAATGGTCAAAATACTTGATATGTAAGCTCGCATGTCATGTCTTAAAGTTGCAAATTCTCCCAATTAAGTTTCTAATCAAATTTTCATAAAAACGTTTAGTATTGCACCGCCCTAATTGATGGTCGAGATATTCTTGCGAAACTTTAACACTGATAATTGCGATAATTAGTAACAGCTCATACTTTACACTTATTGCTAAGTTAAAATTGGTTTTGTAAATGGAGGGACTCAGTGGTCAGACCTGCATTAGATTTCTAGACAGAAACCGACGGGTTCAATTCCAGCCCTGGTAAGATCTTGGCAGTGGCAGGATTCGAACCACGTTGACATGAGCCTTACTCATTTCTGATAAGAGCGCAAGACATTCAATAATTTAGGTGGGAATAGCGCAAAGGTAACCAAGTATTTAAATAAAATATTGAATTATGTGTCAGAAGTCTCACAAACACACAGATGTCATTTCGCCGACGAATTTAATTCCTCAAATTAGGCCAATTTTCTCATTTTTAATAATAGTCCACAAAGATTAATTTTCTTTGGGAATTAGGTCGAGTTTTTCCGACATAAAGGTCGTGGGTTGTTTCCATCATGGCGTCACAGTAAGCACCTGAACAAACTAGATCTGCGTCATGAGGGCTCATTGATATTATTTATAGTGCCTGCGAGCAAAATTCATTGAAAATGTGCCTGCCAAAATCGTATTTTGAGTTTTGACAGCTAAGTATTGTTAAAATGACAGAATGTTTTGTTTAAATTGTGCCTACGATTTTAAATTGTGCCGGTTAGGTCCTGCAGTAACACTAGACCAACAAGCGAAAGCTTCTACCTCTACGGAGAGCAGTTTAGAAATCATATAAGGCCCGTTTACACTTGCAATTTTTCCTGCGATTTCAGGTGCGATATTCTTCTTCTGATGGATGTAAACGAGTGGATGTAATATGATGTAAAACCTTTATTTCAACAGGGTTATCTTTTCAGAAGACAAGCTTCTGCTATCAATAGGGGCCCTGTAAATTTGATCAACTATAGTACTATTAAAATTACATGAATATACAAAATATACTACAACTACTGCTACTACTCTAAAACAAGTAGGCTACATTATAAAAATACTAAGAATTAAGTCTATTAAAAATCTTACAACCAGATCAGTTATGAATGTTTAGATGAAGGTACATGCAATTCACATCAATCAGCAGAAGAAAACCACACTAGAAATCGCGGTGAAATGGACCAATCCCCAATTAACCAAAATTTTGAACTCAACAAGTCTAGACAAAAATTTCAGCACAGCTTGAAAGAGCATTACAAAATTAGTAATATTCCAAAGTTTCGTTGCAAAATGTTGTAAAATGCGGATAATATAGCCTTGAGATATTTGCAATTTTCAGTCATTTTAGATTACAAACGGGAAATGGTTACCACTTCTGTGCGTAATACAAAATGACTGAAAATTACAAACTTCGCAAGGCTATATTATCCTCATTTTATAACATTTTGCAACGAAACTTTGGAATATTACTAATTTTGTGATGCTCTTTCAAGCTGTGATGAAATTTTTGTTTAGGCTAGTTAAGATCAAAATTTTGGAAAAGTGGTAACCATTTCCCGTTTGTAATCTAAAATGACTGAAAATTGCAAATTTCCTAAGGCTATATTATCCGCATTTTACAACATTTCGCAACGAAACTTTGGAATATTACTAATTTTGCGATGCTCTTTCATGCTATGATGAAATTTTGTCTAGACTTGTTGAGATCAAAATTTTGGTTAATTGGGGAATGGTCCATTGCAAGTGTAAACCGGCATATATATATATATATATAGAGTTATCATTATCTATAAAATTTAACAATATTCAACTCAATCCAACAGGTCCAAATATCTTCCTGTCCTCAGAAGGCTTGATAAAACTGGGTGATTTTGGAGCCTCGGTGAAGCTTGTCAATCCATCTCAGACTATGTGTGGGGAGGTGTCCGCTCTCCGGGGTACAATCGCGTATATGGCACCGGAGGTTATTACCCTCGATAAAGGTGCCGGGTATGGCAGAGCCGCTGACATCTGGAGTGTGGGTTGCGTTGTCGTCGAAATGGCCACTGGGAAGGTAGGAGTTAAATGTATATTTTTCGTACTAATGAAAACATGACATCTTCAGTGGCGCAGTCGTCACAGAAAGCGCCTTCTGAGATCATGGGCTTCATTGTCGTTGCGGACTCGTGATACTTGCGTGAAATGAATTTCGTGGGATTTGCTCCCACGGGGAATATTGATAGGGTGGGTTGAGGTAAATATCGACATTTGGGGCATCTCGCTCGATAGAACTAACCAGTTGAAGGGTTTTTGTAGATCGAAATTTTGAGCGGAAAGTTCTGTACACTTTTCAGACCTAACCAGAAGCAGAGAGACAGTTGTCGAGCTCTAACCACAAGTTTTTATATATATAACCTTTAGTTCTCCTAAAGTGCTTGGCTCAAGTTGAGGTGCGTCTTTCGCCTCTCCCAATTTAGTTTAGTAAATAAATAATACAGCGTTCTTTATTAGCCAGTGATTTGTATGAAATGCTGGTATGATCTTTAAGAACAATGACATAGGATAATTGATTCAAAATGATTTTTTTATCAAAATCAAAATAAGAGTGTTTGAGTGTTCATGCACTAAAAATTATTTTGAAAATATCGAAAATGTTTTTTAATTATAGATAATGCCAGGAAAAGTAATTTCCGAAAAGCTCAGTATATTTCATTATATTTATAATTGTATCCTATAGTTCTAATTATCTTGGAGTTCGTTAATTTCGTGTCGTGTTTCAAATCCAAACTTTGCCTCAAAATGGAATTATTATGATATCACAAAAATACAGTATTTATCCTTTCATATTAGAGTATTAGGCCTGTTTTATACGTCGAATTTTGATCGCGTCGAATGCAATTAAGACAATAGATAATGAGATGATAAACCTCATTAAGCTTCATTGTCTATTGTTTGAATTGCATTCGACGCGACCGAAATTCGACGTATAAAACAGACCTTACATTATTTGTTCTTTGATAAAAGAACAATAATTCAGACTTTTAAAAGATTATAAAACTTTAGACTGCAGAATATCCAATAAACACCTTTCGTTAAATATTTGCATGCAAATAGCTAGGTATCCTAATTTAAATGCTAATGCCCAGTCATGTAATTACATGTTCGTGTTAAATGATCTCCGTTGTAATCTAAGGCTGAATATTTTAATCTCCTGCAGTATATATGTGGTATATATATTTAAATTATCTTGTGATGTGCTTTGTCATCGTGATAATACAACAAACTTCACAGCACGAGGGGAAGAAAGAAATTAGTTTTATATAAACTACGATTCGTTGTGACTTGTGCACTGGTGTATTGTATATACACAATCAGTCATTATATCTATTGGAAATTGCTCCTGCTCAGGTAAACAGAGTGATTAAATCGTCCAGAGAGTGATAGACATAGCATGAATGATCAGTCGTGGTTTGGTTGAATATTTTTTTAAATGACATAACTTTTTCTTCGTCTATCATTTTGGATCTTTGAAGTTTGTGAGTTATTGACGTCCTTCAAAATCGCAAGTTGTTAAAAGGGAAACACAAGCCTACTAGCTTACATTTCAATGATAGGGCTGTCCTAGAAAGACGAAAGGTGTTACATTAACAGACAAAGAGTCATTGGTTTCAATCTTGGAAGGTTTTAGTGACTCAATTTCAACTCTTTATATAAGTAATTGTAAGAGCACGAAGGAAATAAACAGGAAAACCTGGTCGTTTTATTCGCTACGGATTCGGTTTCCAGATTTGGTATCTTGGTAACAGGTTACCAACTGAACACAATCCCAATGTCTGCCAACTTCACAGGAAATACGAGCATTCCCGAAGTCTTCACGATCGGATGGTTTCGTTTTCCGACCAGTGTCGACGAGAACTACGAAGTAATCATAGTCCTTCATGATGTTCTGGTAGTGTTATCATTTTTGACCAACCCCATTCTCCTGTTTATCATTATCAAAACTTTAGGCAAATCTTCAGGAAAGAACTCCGGTATCCTTCTCTCGAGCATTTGCCTTACAAACATTTTTGTGACTAGCTTTGGCGTGATTAAAATATTCGGTGGTTCAGCTATTGATTATGGAATAATGACCCGTGTTATGTCTATCTTCTTACCAATGTATTATTTTGCTACCTTCTGCTTAGCTTTAAATCATTACGGGTTAATTGTAACACCACTGAAGTTCCAAACCTCGTCTCCAAAACCAAAAACAATGGTTGGTATTTTAGGAATAGTTTGGATAACTATGACACTGGTTTTGGTGGTGGCTCCAAGCTTAGCATCAGATTTTGATCTTTATGTTAAAGTGACGATAACCACAGTCGTAGCATTATGTTGGCTTGCAAGTATTATTATTGCTATAATGTATACGAGGATCCTACTCACTTTATACCAAAGGAAATTAACACTGCATAGAACTTTGAACATGTCTCGCTCAAGACAAGGACTTGTTGTGATTAAACAGAACACTAAGCTTGCCAAAGTGTTGTCCTTTTATACATTGGTTCTAGTGGTGCTAACGTTGCCTTTATATACCAGTGTGATACTGGCATTACATTGTTCAAAGTGTGACACTCCTGCAATGATGAAGTTTACTCTCTATTGCCTACCACCTGGCATGAGCATGCCAATCATACACGTCTTTCATTGGTTGTCGGCTACCCCGCAGTATTACAGAGAAGTGAAGAGACTAATCAAGAAAGTGTTTGCTTTACTGTGGGAAGAAAGAGTGACAAGTGGTTAAAGATGATGGTTTAAATGGTGCTTCGCTGTCTTCGCATGGACAATAGACCTTTCCCCTTGAAAGAGCATCACAAAATTAGTAATATTCCGAAGTTTCGTTGCGAAATGTTGTAAAATGAGGATAATATAGCCTTGTGAAGTTTGCCGTTTTTCAGTCATTTTGTATTACAATCTAACATTTTGCATCAGATGATCAAACTGATGCAAAATGTTAGATTGTAATACAAAATAACTGAAAAACGGCAAATTTCGCAAGGCTATATTATCCGCATTTTACAACATTTCGCAACGAAACTTCGGAATATTACTAATTTTGTGATGCTCTTTCAAGCTGTGATGAAATTTTTGTCCAGGCTAGTCTTGATCAAAATTTCAGTTAAAAGAGGAAAGGTCTATTTAGAACAGTTTCTTTCACGATTTCTTGTTGGAAATTACATTTTATCACCCGAAACTATAACACGTAAGGTTGCAATTTTCCAAACGCAACAAACAGACTCTACCGCCCCTCCCTGAGATCAATATCAATTAATTCATCGTGCAAAATCGGCTGCGTGACACGTGATCAGCTCCGACCAGGGTCTTTCGTCCACAAGAGGTTGAAATGCAGTTTGCTGAAGAAATATATAGCTCTCATAAATGTGCAAATATTAACATATAAATCTTTTCTTACATACCTGAATCCCAGTTTTGGTCAGTGTATCCTCCGAAAATACAATTATTGGCTTTCACCAAAACCACTGTCGGTCCTTTATTGTCACAATGTCTGTGAAAAGCCTGGAAACTCCAACCATCTCTGGAAGCTCTGTAACAAAGAGTCCATTTACACTTCTCTCCCAACCATTTCGTTAGTTGTTTCATGAAGGCAATCTCTCCTTTCAAAATACTGGATGACTTTTTTAGATTGTACGTTGCAGACACAGAACCTATAGTAAACAACGAATTTATGTAAGCCACAAAAGATCTTTACAAGGTATCTGTTATGTATTAGCAGATATTTGTTATGTAATAGCAACTAAATTTAATGTAATATAAAAAGCGATTTACACAAATTAGGTATAAAACTAGAGTAAGTAAACAACATTTTAATATTATACACAGCCATAGGCAGCTCTAAAACGATTAACATTTTTATTCTACGTTTCGAATAACTTGCAGTCATCGTCAGGAATGACGCTGCTGAAATTCAAATATTTACGTCGATTTTACTCCTCTAAAGAAAGTTTTGGGCTCTGGGAAGTTAACAAGACTATTTGGCAATGAGTATTGTCAATCCGCTATGCCACAATTCACCCTCTAACGCCCTTGCTTGATTTTCACTTGTTTTTACACCAATGCTCCGATCATATGTACAGCATACTGTATTGAAACAGTACCTTGGTCTGTGTAACGCCAGATGATCTTACTCCTAGCGAGCAAGTGTTGGACAATTATGAGTAAATACCTAAATTTAATTAGCTACACAGTTGCTACTATTTTTAAGTTAGATCCGGCCTGAAAATCGACATAAAAAATAATTCTAGTGTATCCTTAACATAGAAAATAATTTCCTTTAGAAAATAATTTATGTACTGACGATAATATTATAGAGCTTCAGATTTGACTTCCACTACCGCTACAACTATTTTTCACGCTCTAAACACGTATCAGATTGGCAGGGCCGTAACTATATATATATATATATATATATATATATATATATATATATATATATATATATATATATATATATATATATATATATATATATATATATATATATATATATATATATATATATATAATTATATATATATATAATAATTTTTATTTATATTGGTTAATCCGTTAGTGGTAGCGGTAGTGGAAGTCAAATCTGAACCTCTATAATGTACTGACGGTAATATACCGTAAATTGCACATACCTTCCACATGTCCCAACTTATCAACAATTTCATCAACATTGATATTACCAATGTCGTCCGGTACATACTGAATACTATCATCATTCACTGCGACCAGATTCTCTGGTTGTTGATTGCTCAATTTCTCGATTTTCTCATCAATCAATTTTTGTGATGAGAGCATTTCTTCAATACTTCCTCTCTTGAGGAGATTTCTTGGCAAGGACACTGAAGCTTGAACTTTATCAAGATAGCCTTTCATTTCATCATGTTGTTTGCTCAGTTCACTGTGTAATTCACCATAAACCTTGTCCACTTCCTCGTTCATTTTCTCTGCTTTCCGGTCAAGTTTTTCTGCCACAATCTTCAAGATATTTTCCTTTTGTTGTTTGATTTGATCTTTAGCAGTTTTGGCATTCTTTTCAAGAGACTTCATCACCTCACAGATGTTGTTTAACACTTCCTTTCCTTCAGCTAATTTCTCGTCAAGTGTTGTGCAGCTTGATTGCAATGTTTCTCTTTGCTTCTCTGTGATTTTGCGCATTGCCACACAAGAATGGTTTGGTTTCTGATGATTCAACACTACACAATCTATACAGCAAAGTTCTTTGCATGTTTCACAATAGTATTCGAGTATTTTGTCTTCGTGTTTTGCACAATAAAGCTTTCTTCTCATTTTTACTTGACTTTCAGGATTGCACAGTTCCTGTACAGACAACACGTTATGGCTTAATTTCATAATCGCTATCCAACTATCATGCGACTCTGAACATTTCTTACACATAAATATTTCACATGATGCGCAGTGATTAATGGCAGGATCTTGGCAGCGTGAACATGCAGTAGACGCTTTGGCTTTTTGTTGAATTGCCATAATTTCCAGCATATTCTTAATGAAATAATTTCTTGGCAGTTCAGCAACATCTTGGTTTGATTTGAGAGTGAACTCTGAGCGACATGTAGGACATGGAAATGTCTCCATGTTCTTGTCAGCACCACGAAGACGTTCAACATACTTTCCTAAACAACAATTAAACGGACGCTTAAAATAATGAACCTGATGTTGTGGAGTAGAAATTATAAATTAAACACAATATTAATGAACACAGAACTGCTCCATTATTTAGAAAGTTAAGTAAGAGTGGGATAAAAATATTTTTAATTCATCAGAAACTGCTTTTCAAATGGCCTAAGTAAGACTAGCAGACTCGCTGGACTCATAATAGACTTCTGTAACGTTTTCTAATGTGGCATAAACAAAAGCATAGTTTCAAAGTAGATAGCTAGTATCATCTTATTTTGTGTCCTAATTATTAGACAGTTTTACGTCTTTCACCTATTGTATATACTAAAGATGTAAAAGATTTTATACCTTTAAGCACCTATTAATGTTAATCACTGCTTGGGAGGCAGTTACGGGCAAAGGGTGGAGATTTGCCCTGAACACACATCCTATCCATCACAAATTTAAGAACCAATATTATCCCAGGGATGGAAACATTTAATCAAAATTAAAACTGATTTAAAGTTGTGCAAACTGTGTAGAAAGAATGCTGAGAATGAATGTTAACTTATTAAGATGCATAGCGCTCAAAGGCGCCCTATACTTTATATACCTTTACTCTCAAACTCTATAATGCCACAATTTTACTCATCAACGAGAGAGTGTTGCGCTTTCATGGATTAAACAATTATTGCTATTAAATTTGAGATGTTCTTGTGAATCTTTCTAATTTTTTGTTATAAATATTCTATTTTCAAGGTTTTCCAATTTTTATTAAAAGAAAATAAATCATGAAGGTGTTTTTAGCATGCTAACATTTTATTTTGTACATATCGCCTTGAATGACGCGCAATTTAGTTCTTTGAGAAAAATTTTAAGCTTAAGTAGTTTCTAAAGGTGCTGCACGTGAAACACAAGCTACATATTAATTATTTCTTCAAGTACTAAATAAATCACACTTGTTAACTAGTTGTCCAAAATTTCATTTTTGAATGGCACAGAGAATGTTACATCAATGACTTACATAGTTTGGATCTTAATATGTACCCAGGTGGGGACGTTTTGATACAATATTTTATTGATATCTGTCCAGGGCAATCTTCTCTGGGGGCCCCATGACATCATTATTTTTAAGCAGACCCAAGTCAGTCACCCAACTAGACCTTAGCTAGACTGCATGTGGAGCAACTGAAGCGTCCCTTAATTTCAAAAATGCTTGCAACCATTTGAAGAATGTACTCCATTTTAGGCTCTCGCTCTCAAGTTGGGGCCCTATTAAGGTGGGGGCCTGGGGCAATTTGCCCCCCTCTCAGCGCCCCTGTATCTGTCTCCCCAACCAATGGAATTTTACACAAAATTTGTCAAATCTCCACCCCTTGCTCATAATGTCTCCCCCCCCCGGATTTGCATTGATAAGTTATACAATTAGATAATGGCCTTCTGTGGACATACACACAACAAACCACAAAATGCATTAGACTCAGCTATAAGCAAAAGTCATAGCACTGACTCAGTTATGACAAAACATAACAAATAAGCTTGTCTATCTGCACAGTTCATTTCTAGCTAGGAAACGTGTCAGTACGACAATCCTAAACCATATCAAAATTAAAATTCCAATTAGAATTGCAATTCCAATCACAGGCGGCCCAATCTCGCAAGGGTCAGTATAGACTTATAGTATAAATGTATAATATATTATAATAATGTATATTATAGTAAAAATA